GGGTTGTGGGAAGAAAAGAACCCTTCTCCATTGTTGGTGGGAGTGCAGACTGGTGCAACCACTTTTTTCTTATGTCTACACTATATACTTTTCTTATATCTACATTATATACAATCATAGATATTGACAGGGAAAATGAGAAACTCACTAACTGACGTGCATATGAATACTGGTGCTTTTTTCTTTCAGAAACAAAAAATAAGTTTAGAGCCAGGTATGGTGTCACATGCCTGACCTGGGATCAGGAAAATGAGATCATCACTGCCTTGCTCTCACCATTCCTCTGAAATCAACTTCCCACTCAGCACAACCTTAAATTCAACTTGAGTTCAGGAGAGGAGATTCCTCTTAATGGTACAAAAGAAGCAAATAGAGTCTGACCTCAGGCTCCCCTTCATATAGTCAGTGAGCACATGCATGCAAATTTTTCCTCCATCTCTAGGTTCAAATTCCCCTCTCAGGGTGTGGGAGCTCACAGCTCCATCCGCACAAAGGGCTGAGACCTCTGGGGAAGGCAGGTGTGGTCCACAAGATGAGACTGCTGGGTGTTCTCCTGTGCCTGGTGACAGGTCCCCATGGTGAGTGTCCTCAGTGTGAGACAGGGGTCCATGGGAAGGTGAGGAAAGCAGGTGACTGACAGGATGGTTTTCACTTGTCTCCAGGTGTTTTGTCTCAGGTGCAGCTGCAGGAGTCAAGGCCTGGCCTGGTGAAGCCCACAGAGACCCTGTCCCTCACCTGCACGGTCACTGGATTCTCCATCACAACCGGTGGTTACAGTTGGAATTGGATCCGTCAGCCCCAAGGAAAGGGCCTGGAGTGGATGGGGTACATAAATAGCAATGGTGGCACTAACTACAACCCATCCCTCAAGAGCCGCATCTCCATCTCCAGAAACACAGACAAGAACGAGTTCTCTCTGCAGCTGAACTCTGCCAGTGCAGAAGACACAGCCATATATTTCTGCACAAGAGACACAGCGATTTGGTACAAGTGGGAGCTCAGACAGAAACCTCCCCGTAGGGGCACTCGGGACCAGCAGAGGGCGCTCAACACACATTGTTGTAAGGAACCAATTTCCTAGCAAGTATGGAGAGTTAGTTTGGAGGGTTTTCTTTCCGAATGAGTAACATCTCCATCAGTGGCCACAGGAAGAGAGATTTTAAGGATCTTTTATGTGTCTTGTCACTCAGTATTATGTTTACATGATTCAGGCTTATTTTTCCCCCATCTATGTCATAATGGATTGCACAGTAAAGTATTTCCATGAAACCATTGACTACAACTCAACTGACTTCATGGACTCATTACTTTTTGGGTGGAGTAGCTGCTATCGATGCATAACATACTGCTACTATATATATATATATATTGAATTTCGGGAAACTTTAACTGTGCTGTCAACTTTGGAAAAAGTCATCCGAATTTACTGTGTTGAGCTGATACTGTACAGGAATGGACACCCATATTGGTCTAGAAATGTTAAGTTTTTTATTTTCATTTTTAAATTTTTTTTCCATTTGTAAAGGGGAAACACATAGTATTAAATATGTAAGGTCCTATCTAGGTGGTTTTGATTACAGAAAGTCATAATGTATTCTCTAAATAATGAAAAAAGAATAAGATAAGACTACAAGAGCAAGATGCAATTTAAATATATTAAGGGACAATTTTCATCTTCAGAATTAATGATTATTTTAATCTTACATCATTGCTTTTTCGCTTTTACTTTCCTTTTTAGTTTTATTTTTGGATTCCCTATTTTTAATGTTCATACAGAGATTTCTTTAACTGAAATACCCAATCATTTCTTTGATGTGAAAAACTATAATAGTACACAGGATCCTAATGAGATAATTAATAATGTGAAATAGGAATTAAAGGGCTAAAGGTGTAGGGAAAGTGGATAGGGTGGTGGAAAGGAAATAAGGGAGAGGAAAAAAATGTGAGAAACTGAAAAAATGGAAATAAAGTGTTTGTAAATAGGGAGGGGAGAAGGGGGTGAAGGGAGAGCAGGGCCAAGGGAGAAAAGTGAGAATCAAGACCTATCATGTCAAGATACTGGATCCCAAAGATGAATGTAACTGTATTGTATACCTAGATTGTACCAATACACTCAACAAAAATGAAAAAAAAAAAAGAAAAATCAGAGCATATTTTTAACACAGGGAGGCCCTGTGAATCTCACTATGCATATCCACCTCTCTCCTGGAGGTACTGAGGAAGAACTTCATCATGTAGATTTGTTCCAGGTATGAACTTGTGATCACACTGAATAACTCACTTGCGCTTCTGTGAGAAGTTCCACATTTGTGCATTGAAGTAAACACTGACACCTGTGTCATGTGCTGTTTGAGTGTGTGAAAAATTAAGATTATGAATTTTAAGTCAACATCATAACATAGCTATGTAAAGTTCTTATTTTATCCAAATGTTATTTTCACCAGACCTGACCTGCAAACTCACATCTAATCTGGGTTTTAAATCTTTCCTGCTTCTCACCCTCAGTGCTCTCCATATAGCAGGACAACATGCTAAAAGGGCTCAGCATTGTTTTAATTTAAATTTCTCTAATGGACAAAGTATTGAATATATTTTCACATACTTATTGGTCATTTGAATATCTTCTGAGAGATGTTAAGACCTCCACCCAGAAGCGAAGTAAATAGATGTAGTGCTAATGGCCTCAGGTTGGTCAAGCTCTTATCCACATGAAATGCTGACCAGAAGTGGAAGAATAAAGCAAAACTTATAGAAGACCATTATTTCCTGCTGAGTCCTGCATCTCTACAGAGGAAGATAAACCAAAAACAAAATAATAATTGTTCTAAACATAACCTAAACATATTTAAACTTTATGGAACATGTAGGTACCAAAACAGATGAGATTTTCCATCAAACAAGAGATTCTAGTGTACCTGAGAGGAAATAACTGTTTTAAGTTTTACAAATAAAGTAAAGTGCAGTCACCTGTCATTAGCCATTCTGATCCGCAATCAGTTCCCTGCTTCATTATCTCCACCTTACAAAGGGCTCCTCCTCGATGCCCTGATGTAAGCTCCCATCCTCTTTAATAAATTGGAGGATGACCCATTCATAAAACGGGAATAACGTTCACCCTTATCTACTGCAAACATTGTGGTAAATTTGACACAGGCATGTTATCTGAGACAGACAAATTACCTGAATTACCAGCAAGAATATAGTAATTGGCAGGATCTCTAACAAATATGTGGGATTGATGCTGTATGAAGCACATATTTCCCAGGTGCCTGTGTCTTTGAGAATGAAGATAATAAGCAAAGGCTGGAAAATTCATTAATTAGACAACATTCTTTTAAATTTCAGTACATGTACTGTGTACTACGAAAAACATGGGTAAGTTTACAAATATCCATGCCCAGTTCAGTAAGAAAGAGCCTATATATGAAGTCCTTCGTACATGTACTGTGTACTACGAAAAACATGGGTAAGTTTACAAATATCCATGCCCAGTTCAGTAAGAAAGAGCCTATATATGAAGTCCTTCTAATTTTATAAAATTTAAATAATGAAAACTGCTATGATCTGCACCGCATAGGGTCTGAAAGCTGGGGAGAACAGTGGGAGATGAAGAGGAACAAAGAAACCACAACTCTTCTTGAAGCTTGGGACCAGGTGGAACCATAGCTTGTCAGGATCTAAAGGCCACCTGGAGTTCTGCGCTCTTTATGGTGGAAGGGAAGCAGGAAGAGAAGGAGGGCAAATAGTGCTACGTGGCCTCCCTGACCTGGGGGAATTACTGCAGTTGTTTCATGAGGGGCATGGGCAGGAAGGTAGCAGGGAACAGGGGAGGTTACGCAGTGCGACTGTCTCCTGGGGCTGTGCCATCCAGGGTCTACAGCATTAGTCCAACAGACTCTCTAATCTATGGAGGAGAAGTGGGCAGCGAGGAGAAAGGGAGTAGGGAGGAGGAGAAGGACCATCTCCAGGCTCGGCCCACAGGAGAAAAGTGATACAAAGTCATTTCAGTACCACAATATCTGCTTGGGAAATTACAAAAACAGGAAATTTCGGAGAGCTAGAAGATTTGAAGAAATGGATTGCATATATAGCGAGACAATTGTGAAGGTTAAAACAATATTCAACAAATTCTATATTTTGGTTCAAATAGATTTCAACTACACATCAATAAAGGATAACAACTCAAAACTAAAAAATTTATAAATTATAATACCAAGTTGACTGACATAAAATATTTCAGAATCATAAGAATATACTGCAAAGAATCCTGCTCCCTACACAGATTGACAAAAGAACGAGAATGCAGAAAAATCATGCCATGTACTCTCATTAAAAGAGTTGGTGTGCTAAGCATCACCAAGCATTTGGACTGTGATTTAGAATAGTTCAGGGAGTTGTTGTGATTGAGTTGTAAGGATTGTAGGCCCAAGGGCTTGATTAATCAGATAAAAAGCTCTTAAAAATATTGTATAGAGATTCTATTCCTCTGGCTTTTCCTGCTCATCAGAATAATGTAGAAAATTAACTGAATCTATAACTCATTATCATGTGGAAACCTTACGTCAACTGTCAAATGTTAATTTCAACACAAGCAGGAAGGGATTATCATGTCCTTAATGCTGTCGATGCCTCAGAGTGTCCACCAGCACATTCACATGTGCTGTGATCACTACAGTCTCTGAGACAGCCAAGCCCTGGACCTACTTTACAGCAGGAGGCCATGTTAATAGGGCCTCCCACTGCTGAAGAAAACCAGCCGTGCCCTGACCCTGCGGCTCTGCAGAGGAGCCCAGCCCTGGATGCCCAGCTGTTCCCACTTGGTGAATAGGCTTGAGAACAGACAGCTCACCCTGCAGCTGGCACTGGGCTGGGTTTGCTGTTTCAAAAGGTGACTTATGGAGAACAAGAGATACTGAGTGTGAGTGGACATGAGTGGAATAAACAGTGAACATATTTTACAGCTTCATAAGCAAAATTCTTCTGTGTTTACAGGTGTCCCGTGTGAGGTGCAGTTGGTGGAGTCCAGGGGAGGCTTGGTGCACCCTGGTGGGTCCCTTGCCTGAAACTCTCCTGTGCGGCCTCAGGATTCACCTTCCGAAATTACCGCATGAGCTGGGTCTGCCAGGCTCCGAGAAAGGGGCAGGAGTGGGACATAGACATTAATTGTGATTGTGGTAGCACGTAGTAAGTGGACTCTGTGAAGGTCCGATTCACTGTCTCTAGAGACAAAGGTAAGAACATGCTATTTGAGAAAATGACCAGCCTGAGAACCAAGGACACGGCCGTGTATTACTGTGCAAGAGACAGAGTTAGGGGAACTCAGTGCGAGCACCGACATGAACATCCCCACAGGGGTGCACACACCAGGCAGGGGAAGCTCAAGACACACAGTACATTGAGAGTACTGTACCATCGAAGGGAATAATAAAGGGTAGAGAGAAGAGGACAAGGGGCTGGGTCTCTTCAATAAGGAAGTGGTCCAAGGGCAAGGGGCCAGGAGGAGGGGAAAGGGACATAAGTAGAATAAAGTTATGTCATGTTTAAGAACATTGTAATTTCAATTAATGTGAACATTATATGCCATAGGATGAGCTAAGGAAAATTAAAAATGGCAACAAGAATGAAAAATGGAACAGTGAAATTGGAGGAGGGCGAATAGAGGGGGAGGAAAGCAGAAGGGGATTTAGAAAAGGAAACAAGCTGTAGTGTGTGCATGGAACCATTCCCCGAGATGATTATAAAGTGCATGAACTTCAATATGTAGTCATAAAATTTAAAAAATTAATAAAACGAGGCAAAAGGATATTTCCTGTCAGGATCTGGTCCTTCTCAATATCACACTTGTCCCTGATACTTCCATTGCATGGCTCTACCCTTACCTCGACGTCTCAGACAAGGTTTTGTTGTTGCTGTTGCTTGGATAGGAGAACATATCCTCAGTTGTGCAGAGCTCAGGATAACTTGTGTGAGAATGACTCTGCTGTGTTCATCTGGCCCAGATCCTGGCCCGGGTCTGTGGAAGCTGTTAAAGGGTAAATAAAAGTCGAAATCTAGAGTGAGGACAAGTCAGTGTGAGCACAGGCACAAATCTCCCTTCGGGGTGATCAGGGCCCACACACCACACTCTTTATAGTCCAGGGATGTTCAGTCCCTTCGGAGGCTGCGGAGGAAACCTGTGATCAAGAGATTCAAAATCTGGCCCTTCCAGGGTCCTAGTACGGAGCAGCTACACTCAGACCAGCTGCGATCCTAGGTCCTCCTTAGTCTTCATCCTCCTGTGACTCATTTGCGTTTCAAATCTACTGAAGTAATTCACATATCAATAATTTTACCAGTTAAATATCCAAAGTCCATCTGTAGATTGCACAGACCATGTATGTCCATAGTGTGCATTAGATGAACTCTCTGCAAGTGTACCAAGTCCAAGCACTGTGGCCATGGAAGCCTCCATCTGACCTCAAAGCAGACCTGAACATGTGCAGGCTCAGGTAGGAACCTCTGCAGAAGGCAGAAGCTGCAGAGACCCTCCACAAAGGCAATGGCAGCAAAAGAGTGGGTAGAGAGCCTCCAAGAGAGGTGCCCAAGAGCAGTGCCTTATAGACCTTGCAAACTGTTGCCGTGTTGGACACAAGGCACCTGGCCCGCAGAACCATGAGGATGGAAACCTGCTATGGGACACTGCCGGCACCTGCTTGCACCCGTGTGGACTCTTGTAGGAGCAGAGCTCTGAAAACATGTTGATGGGCTGAAAGGACCATGTGAAATGAGACGTAAATTCACACTGACATGAAGTCAAAGGGGATTACTATGGATCATTAAGGGGTAAACATTGGTCCAGTCAGGTTGTGCTTATTATTGTTTCTCCTTACTCCTTTGTATCAGCTCTTTAGCTTGCAACTGTCCATGCCTTGGAAGGCTCAGCACTATAGTTGGGAAACACTCAACTTGTTTAATTTCATGATGACAAATTAGGGAGAATCACATGAAAAATCTCACCCATAATTCATTTAGATGGCATTTACATCAGGCTTTGAGAAGGGTCCTAAAGAGATTTAAAACTTTGGAGTGGTTATGAGGGAATAGGATGATGTTAGTAAGAGATAAAGACATGGGAGTGGGAGGACGGGATAGAAAACTATGGTTGGAAACCACGGGCCCCTCAGAGTTTATAGATTGGAACTCATCTGTGCCCTGGTGGATATCAATAATACATGGTGTCTTTTCTGGGAAATTTCCCAGGGATACTTGATTCTTAGTTGAAATCAGGACTGTCGTATCATGAGCATATCACTTTTTTTTCCCTCCCTGCAATGTAGGGACACAGTGTGCATTTCTCCTGTGACCTGAGGGTGCACAATCTAGACAAGGTCTGGGAGCACACAGCTATCCCCCTGGGGAAACCAAATCTGTCATTGCCTGTTCATAAAACTCTGTGTCCACAAATACAAAAAATGCCTGTATTTTATGTAAAGTGTACCTTGCGTGGTATTTTTTGAGCAGGTGTAATAGAACACATTCCTCCCAAGATTGTATATGTGTGAAATTCACACTCTCATGTTTCAGCACACTCAGCCTTTAGTAATCTGTAAGTCACTAACAACTTAATCTTCTTATTACATGGCATAGGGTGACCTCAGCCCCAGGCAGATAAGTCTATCCCTTATTTTCTTGTGTAACCTCAAAATTTCTAGGTTCCATATTTTTATTGCCTTGCAACTTCATTCTTTCGGTGTGCTGAAAATATTAGTAATTTACATTTAATCCAGTTTTTTTGTTATAGTTGTACTCTGTGTTGTAAAAAGAAGACACCAACTTTTTCATGTGTGTGCGTTTGTGTGATGAAGAGTAGTTCGCTTTACAATAAGCAGAAGCTTAGAATATTTGATTAAACATTAGCAGAGCAACTGAAGATTTAAACTGAAATGTTTTGCATCTTGTTTCTCTCTGATTGTTAACATTCTGTGTATTTTTCCCATACTGGGAATGAAAATCAAGGCCTCACAATCAGTAGGCAAGGCCACCATTGAGCTGTATCCATGGCTCTATTTGCATACATTGGGAAATTAATCAGCATTAATATCCAAGAATGCTAACTCACATAGACATGTGTTGGTATTTTAAACAAATATTTGAGTTAAAGATGATCAAGTTTGATGGAGTGTGCTCTTTACGAAAATGTTGAAATACGAAAATTAGTGTAAACAACATGAAGGTCATGAGCTGCCTGGAGATAGGATGCAGGAGGGAAGCAGCAGGAGGGAGGGATGGCAGAGGAGCCCCAGGAAACACTGCAGGATGACACGTGTGTTCCCTGCTCTGTCCGTGTGTGCTTGTGGAAGAGCCCTTGTGTGTTAATACTTCTCAGGTGCACACTTCATAGTTGGGCAGTTTACGTGTTCTATCCGATGAAGCTATCACGGTAAACTAACTCTAAATATAGATAAAGAGTGAGCGAGTTTAGGACAGTTGAAACTGAGAGATTCATGGACAGGCATCCACATGAACACTGGCTCTGTTTCCTCTCAGCAAAACTCAGCAAAGTCACATTTGTGCTCAGCACTGAAAGAGGGGAACAGGAACATCACCAGGTGCCCCTCTCTGTCCAGGAGCTGGAACAGGAAGCAGTTTGTTCACAACTTCGGAGAGCCTAGGCCCTGATAGTGTGGAGAGCATTTACAGCGCATCAGCTCTGCTATAGAAGAGGAAACTGTGTCCCACACTTCCATAATTTTACATGAATTTTACTTTCATAATTTTCCAAGCAGACAAATTTAATAGAAAGATGCACGCTATGTGTACATGACAAATAAAAGTAGATGGAAAGATAAATTCAATACATTATCTCATAATGCGTTTTCCTATTATCGTAAATGAATTCATTGGTACCAAACTGTCCCACCACACTCTCACTGGATGTGGGCACTGCCCTCTCTGTTATCCATCCCCAGTGCTGTCTATATAGCAGAAGGTCATGCAAATAGGGCACTCGGTACTGTTAAAAAACAGCCCAGCCCTGTCCCTGCAGCTCTGCAGAGAGCCCAGCCCTGGATGCCCAGGTCCTCCTCCCACTTGGTGATCAGGATTGAACACAGGCAGCGCAACATGGAGCTTACCATGTGTTGGGTTTTCCTGTTTGCAATTTTGAAAGGTAAATTATATAGAGCAAAAGATACTGAGGGCGTGAGTGTACACAGTGGGCGTGTGTGACAGTTTCCTGAGCAAGATGTCTCTGTGTTTCCAGGTGTCCAGGCTGAGGAGCAGCTGGTGGAGTCCGGGGGAGGCTTGGTGGCACCTGGGGGGTCCCTGAAACTCTCCTGTTTGGCTTCGGGATTCACCTTCAGTGGCTATGCCATGAACTGGGTCCGCCAGGCTCCAGGGAAGGGGCTGGAATGGATCTCATACATCAGTAATAGCGGTGGTAGCACATACTACGCGGACTCCGTAAAGGGCAGATTCACCATTTCCAGAGAAAACGGCAAGAATACGCTGTATCTGGAAATGCGCAGCCTGAGAACCGAGGACACGGCCGTGTACTACTGTGCAACAGACACAGTGAGGGGACCTCAGTGTGAGCTTAGACAAAAACCTCCCTGCAGGGGCACGCTAGTCCAGCAGGGGTCACTGTGGTCCATGGAGAACCAGGCAGGGCCCCAGCAGCAGGTGCAGAGAAGGCAGCAGAGGGGTGAGGGCTTCCTGTTGGCCTCTGGGGTTTCCCTTCCGTATTAACATCACACGACCTGAGCAAACCTTTAAATGCATGAGCTGCAATGAAGTATCCAAGGATAAGTGAACATTCCGTTACTTTTATTGAAGTATGGAGTTTCACCTCATATATCTAACTTGCACTTGATGGGTAAACCCTGGTCCCTGGTGTGATGACCTCAAACACTGGGAAACACGATCGCAAGTAACTTGGAAACTTTGTCAACTGCATTTTCTTTTCAGTGTCAACTCATCATCATAAAAAATTGTACCTGCTAATTTATTCTCACGTGTGAGGAATTGACTCATACAAGAATACATGATACAGGTTGAGGAATTAAGTCCTTCCCAACCCAATTGACAGAGTCTGAAAACGCCCAGCTCTCTCTTCTATCCTTGGCCACCGCAGGATGTCTGGTCCTCAGGCTCAGCCCCAGCACCTTGTGGAGTCCCGTGCTCAGGGAGGAGGGAAGAGAGAAACTGGGCTGGACTCAGGGCAGAGTCCAGGGGCCTTGCTGTGCTCTTCCTATCCGAGGGGGCGGAGCAGGGGTTGGACCTACGCTTTTCCTTAGGACTTCAGAAATTGTAACAATTTTAAAACAGACTGTAACACTTCTCCCTCTAAATCCCCCCTCTCTCTGTCTCTCTCCTCTTTCTTTCTCATCTCTCATCACTAGGATTCAATCTATATATCAGTAAAAGGTGAAGAATACATGAGGGAAAGTGTTCAAGTACAATAACATTCATTTTTCTAAGAAGATTCTCATGATTCTGTGTTCATACATTTTCTATATTCTGTCTCACTTTTGTCTCAGTTAATTCTGTATTTGCATCACACATGTATTCTCAAATTTTCCTAAAACAATCAAATATGCTTCCATACTTAACATCGTTCTTACAGCTATAATTTTCTGTGAAGAAATTTTTTAGTGAACATTAGTTCATTTCCACACCCAATCCCCACACACGAACATTTTAGTTCTTTTTGTTGACCCCCAGTCTCTTGATCCTATTCCCACTTCGGAGATATTTGTCAACTCAATATCATGTATTTAATATGCTATTTGTTATGAATTTTTCACATTAAAGTTTTGTATTAAGACTTGTTTGCAGTACATAATATTTACGTCCACTTTAGAAAGTAGGTGCTTGTGCTTATCACATCTTGATTCCTGTTATTCCCCTTACCCTCCCTTCCTTCCTCCATATTGGGTTTCTGATGGTAACACACTCACACACACTCCTGTACATCTCTGTATGTATTGAATGGATCAGAATGATGCCAAGATTCTACTTTAATAATGAGGAGGTGGAATATAAAATCAATAACAGGAAATAATATAAATCCAAGGGGAAAATTCAGTAAACACAAGGCTATGTCCAGGAAGAGATCAACATAACTGCTTGGCCTCTACCTCTCTTTAATAACAAAAATGAAATTACACAATCTAAATTAAAAATGGAACATGTGTTCCATGTCTCTACCAAAAACTCTTGGTAAATAATTCAAAAATGGAAAAATGAATAAACGCACTGGACTCAAACAGACGTGTGAAGAAACTGAATATTCACAATGACTTAGATGGCACATGTCCTTTACAGCTATTGCTATAAAGGAATACTCAGTAATCTGGGTTACTACTCTAATTGTCCCTGACTTATCTAGAGGGCTACATTGGATGTGGTTCTCCAGAGCAGCAGAGATAAACCAGGCACGTAGCGACAGCACACAGAAAGAGACATTTCCTTGGGAACTGGCTCACAGGACCATGGAGGCTGGAAAATCCCAGCTTTGCCCTGTGGGCTGCAGGTGGAGACCAGGGAGCTGGAGGTGCAGGCACAGTTGCAGGCTGTCCGCTGGGGAATCCCTGCGGATTGGTGACACCGGTGGTTTGGGCTGTGCAGGCTCTCCTGGTTAATGAACCTCACACACACGATGGAGGGGAACCTGCTCTTCTCAGAATTCATTCACTCAAGTGTTGGTCAATTCCTAAAAACTCCACAAGGAGACACATGATCCTCACAGAGGACCAACAAGCTGACCTACGAACTCCATTAACAAAGTCCATCCTCCAACTTTTGAGCATAGCCCTACAATCTGGTACAACACAATGGTGAAATCTTAGTCTGTACACAGTCTTTTCACCAACATCTTATGGTCCTTCAATAGAGAGTACAGTTATTTTTTAATTGCATGTATACAAAAAATAAAACACCGTGAGATTTTGAATGATAGAAATCTAGATTTTCTTCAGAGATTTATACTATGCCATGCACGTAGTAACAAGAAATGGAGCCAAGATGTAATAGCACATGCACTGGGCATGAGGTGTGAAGGGAACACACACACTGTCACCATCATGGAGGACACGGTAATAGGACAGGGATATAAAATAAACACGCTGAAGCCTCCAATTTAAACTTGCAAGGATAATGCCAGCCGAAAACATGGGCTACAACACGGATACACCTGTACATCCGGGCTCTGGTGTGGAGATTTGAAGGACATACAAGAAAAAAGACCTGTCAGGTTAGATTTTCATGATCATTGAGATCAGATGAAATTCACAGAATCTCTGCCCATGGACTTTGAATGTTTTATACTCTAATTTTTAAAACATAGAATGTTTATCATTTCATTTATGATAGGCTACCTTAGTGTTCTAAACTGTTGTTTCTCAGGTTGTATTCTGTCTTTCACAAGAGGCTTTCTCATGACCAGTATTTTGAATATTTTCCATTGCTAGAATATCTAACAATCTCTGATCTCACTAGCTTTGCTTTTGTTTTTCTTGTTATTTTTTGAGACAGAGTCTCACTATGTGATTTAGAATGGCCTTAGATTTACTATGTAGCACTGGCTGGCTTTGAACTCATAGAAATCCTGCTGCCTCACAGTCTTAACTTCTGGGATTATAGATTTGCACTTCCACGCATATCTGGATCTCTCATTTAAAAAATGCAGCGGATGTAAAAATTTGTGGACAAGTTGGGAATTGTCCTTGAATGTTTTTATCAGAAATCGATGAACATTTCACTTACATTATTGATAGTATTGGCCTTCTTCTATCTTGGTTTTTGAGACAAGGACCGGGATGTTCCAACACAGAATGTGGTCCCATTTGTGGTGTTCTCTGGGGCCATCTGAAGGTCAGGGCCAGAAGGAGCTGCACTGAGTGAGCAGGGCAGGGCCCTCTTCATCCCAGCACATTCAACATCTCTGAGAGGCAGGTGGGGATGAAGCCAGATACAAAGTCTCATATGCCCTTGCTCCTTGAGTATGTCCCTACATCTTCCTCCTGTCTCACTCTTGACTGGTGTAAGGTGAGCTGCTGAGGTGATTTTCTAAACATTCTATTCAGGCTGCACATTTAGAAACTTGAGTCATTATGAAACCATGAATCTTCAGGGAAAAGGTTCTAAGAGGGAAGATCAGAACGTCTGTAGTCCATGAGAGGTCACAGCATTTTCAGATAGTAGTAGACATCTCTGATTACAAAAAGCCAAGAATGGGCTGAGACAGAGATACATGAACTCCAAGAAAATTCCCCAAATAAGTTAACTGTGAGAATGTAGGGAATAAGATCTAGAAGTTGTCTTTGAAGATTACACTCAAGGATGAAGCAATATGTTTTTAAAAGGCAGTCATGGAGACATGGACAGAGATGGCACCAGAAGACAGAAAGCATAGTTAGGTTCTTAAATATTTTTCTCTATCTCCACCAAGAGCTCAGCAAATACACAATTCTCAGCCTCAGCACAAACTCTCCCCTGGAAAGGCACGGTTTAGTAAATATACTCAGCACATAAGAACGCTTTCTGGACATGGACACATTCATGTTAAAGTTGCCAATGAAAACTGTGCTCAGAATGAACAAAAATTTGCTCCAACTCATTTTCTCTGTGTGTTGAAGTATGAATACCAGAGAAGATACAGAAAAGTGTCTTT